CTCGAGTAATGCTGATTTTAGAGACTCGAATGCCTTCTGTCTAGCAGCGCTCCATTCAAAGCGTGAATTTTTTCCGGTGATTTCTTCTAATGGACGAGAGATGGTCGAGTGTCGATCTATGAACCTTCGGAAATAGTTTGCAAAGCCAAGAAACTTCCTCACATCAGTTACTGACGACGGAGTTGGCCATGTTTCCACAGCACTTATCTTCTTGGGATCAGGGGAAATTGATGTGCCGTTGATTTTATGCCCCAAGAAGAGAACTTCTCTCACGCCAAATTCGCATTTAGACTGTTTGCAATACAGCTCACTATTTCTAAGTGTTTCTAGAACTGTTTGAAGATGATGCTGATGATCTTCCCAGGTCTTGCTGAAAACTAGAATGTCATCCAAGAATACTACAACGAATTTTCGGAGATGCGGTTGCAGAATAGAGTTCATGAGTGACTGAAAGGTGGCCGGGGCATTAGTCAGCCCGAATCCCATGACTCTAAATTGGAAGTGGCCGAACGGCGTATTAATGGCCGTCTTAGAAACATCCGAGTCTTGAATTCTGATTTGATTGTAGCCTGACCGCAAGTCCAACTTGGAGAAATATGCACTGCCCTGGATCGTGTCGAATAAGTCATCAATATTAGGAAGACAAGCTTTGTTTTTGATCGTAATTCTATTCAATTCTCGCCAATCGCACACCATTCTCAGAGTACCATCCGACTTTTTCACAAAAAACACAGGTGCACCGTATGGCGACTTACTTGGCTCAATGAATCCCTTCTCAAGTAATTCTGATAGCTGTGACTGGAGCTCGTCCATCTCTGGTTTCGGCAGGCGGTAGGCGGGTCGAGACGGTGGTCTGGCTCCATCTTCTATCTGGATTTCATGGTCGACTGGTCTCTTCGGTGGAAGCTCATTCGGCAGCTCGTCTGGAAATAAATCCTGGTACCTCTTGAGCAGGTTCTGGATGTCTTGTTGCTCTGATTCCTGGAGTTGTGGCCCGGAACGATTCTCCTCGTTTGCAGCAGTGACCCATGCAAGAAACCCCTCGGCTCCACTCCTCAGGGCATGACGAGCTTGTCGGCCACTGATAAACATGCTTTCCACAGATGGCCGGTCGGCTGTCGGCGGGTTAGCTGAAGGCAATTTGGCAACAAAGGGCTCACCGTCCAACTGAACTTCGTTCGTACGGAAGTTGATGCTGGGGTTGTTCCTTGTAAGCCACGGCTTGCCAAGAATAGCGTCGTAGCGAGTCAGGGGATACACAGTAAAGTGCTGTTCCTCACTGAAGCCCCCGACTGTCACCCTTAGCGTGCGTGTGGAAATCTGCGGGACCTCGCTGGTCGAGCCGTCCGCCAATGTTACGCTCAGCACTGCTGAGCTTGCATCCGTGTCAAGATGATGCTTTCGAACAAAACTGTCTGCAATGAAGTCATGCGTCGAACCGGAATCTATCAGCATCACTGCACGGCGACCGCCGATCTTTCCCTGTATGCGCAGTAGGTCGTGTTCAGGTTCATTGCCGACGCTGACGTTGCTGACATGACACCTTTCTGCAACGGGACAATTTCCTACAGCTATGGGTGTCTCCGGCTCCGTAGGTTCCTGGAGAGCAACGTCTTCAACCTCCAGAGCTCCGAACCGGTTAGCGACTGGTACCGGCGTGGGCGCTTGGGTCGTCGCCAGTAAGCGCACCCCCTTTCTTACTGGCGACCAGCGTTTGGGTAGCGCTGTCCACCCTCAGTACAGTCTTTAGCGAGGTGGCCTGGCTTCCTGCAAGCAAAGCAGTGTCCCATTGCTCGCAGTTGGACACGCTCTTGGTCCGTCAGCTTGCGGAGGCCCTGACCACGGAAGCTGGGCACGGAACGCGACTCTCTACTGGCTGGTGGCCCCGACGCCGGTGGCCCTGACGACTGCTCCACGGTGTTTGCTGCCATGACAGCTTGCTCCAGGGTACGTGGATGCTCACGCATGACCTGTCGCTGGATGTGCGGCACTAGACCCCTGACGAACAGCAGCGCTCTGGTGTGGTGGTCGATTTCCGGCACTTGCAGGCTGAGGCGAGTGAAAGCAGCAATGTATGCGTCCAGCGACCCGCGCTGCGCTGCGGAAATTAGTCCCATACGCGATGTTTCCTCGTTGTGCCGTGGTCCGTACACATCGCCAAGTGCCGCTTTCAGAGCAGGCCAGTCGGAAAACACTTGGTTAGCTTCCAATGCCGCTATCAACCAAAGACGAGCGTTTCCAGTCAAAAATCCTGCCGCGTAGTCGACCCTCTGTGCCGCATTTGGGAGTGCCAACGACCGTAGGGCCATGTCCATTGCAAACGTCCATTCTTTGAATGTAGCGGAATCTCCTCCAAACACAGGCGGCTCTTTCGTAAGGCGGGGTGTTGGCTCCCACGGTTCCGAGTTCGGATGTATCGTTCGGTTTCCTTGGCTAACGCGCTGAGCGGTCTTGATATCGTTTATCAGCCGAACGACGAGTACGAGGAGCGTAAGCAGAGCGACCAGAACACCTGCCAAAAGCAGAGTAGGAACCATCCTCTGCTACCAGTGTAACAGGTTTAATCAAACTTGAAAAGTAAGAGGCCTGGTTGAGCGTGCCTCGACCAGTTATATGCAAAATGTGATAGTATACATGTGGCAATGGCGCCAATGAAGGTGCTAATAGACAGGCGTAAGACGCATGAGGTGCGAGGGAGTGTAAAGTTATAGAGAACAGGGGAAAACTGTTACACTTCGCATACATACTAATTCTTCCAAGTTGCTTCACGTTATGGTCTTGTATTTGAAAGCCCTATTTGAATATGCATTGTGGCCAGCCGTCTTTGAATGTACGGTACGGTACGGGATAGGTACGGGACAGGTACGGGACAGGTACGGGACAGGTACGGTCGAGGGTAATACGATACCGTCTACCGCCTTTATGACGGCAAAAAAAGAAAAGGGAGGTTATAAATTTTTCAATTCTCCTTTTTTTAAGGCATTACTTGGGATTCGAACCCGCACTATCGTCCTACTTGTACATGAATACCCCCATACACTTCGCATTCATAATCATTCTTCCAAGTTGCTTCACGTTATGATCTTGCGTTTTAAAGCCCTATTTGAATATTGCGGCCAGCTGTATGTGGCCAGCTGTGTTTGATGGTACGGTACGGTACGGGACAGATAAGGGATAGCGCCAGGCGTGACACAAACACACAAACACACACCAAATTAAAGCTTTGTGGACCCTGGCTAGCGCCAGACGTTACTGAAGTAATGTCTTCTGCATAGCTACGGGAATTAAAGCTGTGTGGACCCTGGCTAGCGCCAGACGTTAATGAAGTACAGGTCCTCTCTCGTTATAACGAGTCCGGTTAGTACATAAACCCCGCTAGTAAATAGAAATCTGAAATCTCCTGGCAAAACGTGGTCTATATAACTGTTTACAGGTCCGGTATAATCCGTCAGTACATAAAATCCGTTATAACGACCCTTTGCCCAGGTCCCTGGAGTGCCAAACCCTCAGTATAAGATAATATTGACCATGCAGGACCAAGGCCAAAACACGTAGGATAAAGCAGAAAGAGGAAACGTATTATGTCTATGGAAGGGTTATGTTGGAGATTTTCAATTATCTTATAACGAGTTGAAGCATCGAAATTTATGTTGTATCGAGGGAAGCCCCGGTGAGTACGAAGTACAGTAGTGCCTATTTTACCTTTAGCTGCAAGTCCTGCTACAAGATAAGTCTTGTTATAAGATACCTTTATCGATGGCCCAGAGATTATCTACTAACGGTGTGTGTGATTCAGCACTGGAGTGGATTACAGACTACCTATCCGATAGAACCCAAGTTGTCTTTGTAGGTGGACTTCTCTCAGGTGCTTCACCTGTTCTATCCGGATTGCCCCAGGGATCCATCCTAGGGCCTCTTCTTTTCGTAGTGTATATTAATGATCTTCCCAGTCATGTTGAAGGTGTGTCCTTATTTGCTGACGATACTGTACTGCTCCGGTTCAATGAGAGTCTAGACAGGCTGCGAGACAGTCTCCAGCGCAGTATCAACGAAGTCCATCAGTGGACGACTACCTGGAGGCTAAGACATAATATCGCCAAGCCAGAGATCGTATTCCTGCTGAACTCAGAGCCAACCCCTGCATTCACTCTTCCCGGATCCCTCACAGACCTCACAGTTGTAAAGCAACACAAGCATCTTGGTTTGGTCATTGACTCAGACTTATCCTTTAGTAGACAAGTGTCGACTATATCTGTAGCAAAGTCAATAAAGCTGTTGGCTACCTCGTGTCTTACTGCTCCCACCTGCCGCATGAATTCATTCGCCTTCTTTATTATTGCTATATTCTCCCCATTGTTCTCTATTGCTCAACCACCTGGTCATCTCTATTATTGGTGTTCAAGGCTTTGTGACTGTTCTCCTAGTCACAGGGGTCACAGGGGTCGTGATTGATCAGTGAGTTCTATACTTAATGTATGTTAAAAATGGGTTACCCATCTTGTGTAGCTTTCCACTACGCGCGTATACGCGGTTCGCGACCGTAGTTATTATCATGTATACTCTATTACTATGTCGTCATTTCGCCACTGCATTTACATGTATGTACCATCAGCTGTAATGATATCTGTATTATCATTTTCCTGTGTTATTCGTTGAAGTAAATAGTTGACATTTTGTAGTAACCCGTTTCCAGATATATTATTTTAACGCTGTTGAAGTAAATAGCTGACATTTCGTGTGTTTTGCCTGGATGATCCTTACTTATTCCCTTTTGCCTATCCTGCAGTGGAATGCGTGTGTGCTCCTCATTGGCTTCGCTCGTTCCCTTCGGGAACGGATACGATAATTTACTTACTTACTTAGGCAAGCTTGCTTGATGATGTCAACGCGAACAAGCAAAATGATTATAATAACCATTTCTTCCCATACTGATGTACATTGATCGAACACCGATGTTTGATGTAGTAGTAATTTTCCCTTTCCCTGGCTTTTATCTGTAGACAAACTCAATCAGCCATCAAATCCAATGAATGGAATATATTCGACAGATACTATTTCAGCAGAGAACACAACGTTGACTGTAAAGTGCAAGACTGATTTCCTGAAAGATCAAAGTGCAATACAGTCAACAATGAACTGTCAATTCCCAGGAACCTGGACAACCCTCCGTACTGAGCCTTGCCGCCTACGTGAGTCCATATGTTATAATGTTTTTCATTGACATCACAGGTTTCCAAAACAGTTGGCTGAGTTTGCGGGTGATAGTGACCAAGGAGTTTACTCCTGTCTACAGAATGTAGACTAGAACCATTGAGCACAGGTTGCATACATCAGGTTGCTGGCAGCTTCAGACAAAATTATTGTCTTCTTAACCACTTCAAAGTGTCCATCTAGCTTAGATTGTAGGTCAGTGTATTGATGATGGCTGGCAACCTCCTATTCAAGAATCACCACACCATTGTCTTCTTAAGGTTGTTGTGCGTACTTGAATTACAATCTACTGCGATAATGCAGCTAAAGGTCCAGCGGCTCTGAGGTGAAGAGACCTGGCTTTCTCGCGGGATGAGTTTCAGAGTGGCATAGAGCTGTTATCTAGCTGTATCCTACCCATTGGGACGCTGGTTCTGGCTGCAGTTTGAAAGAGCATTTAAAGAGTTCCACGTCAGGAACATCAGGAGCGGCTGCAATGCGAAGTCAAACGCAAAAAAATGAGTTTCACACCATAAAATGTTATGTGCATTTTTGTATTTGTATTTATATCATTATCTCATGGCACATCATGATGACGGCCAGTAAAACTGAGACAAGGGTGAAAGCCAACCACAGCAGTAAAACAGAGAAAAGAATACAAATAAAAGGCAAAGAAGGCAAAGGAGGAGGCAAACCAGCAGGATATACATGAAACCTATAATTGAGCAGAGATTGTAGCAACAAAATTATCCATCGACGTGCTGGTCTTGGCCTGCGTTGGTAATGTTGCCCAAAACACATAGCCAGCGAAGATCGGGGATCTAGTGAATAGGATGGAGGCAGCGCGTGGAAGACTGAATGAGTTCCGGGTATTCCGTGTTTCGGAGAACCAATTATAAGCCTGCATATGCAAGGGTATTCTATTTAGAATTTTTTTATGTATGAGAACACAGAGGTGGTACTTCTGTCGAGTGGAAAGGGGACTGATCTTGGCAATTTCGTAAAGACTAGCGGAGGGAAAGCGACGATCTTTGCTAAATAAGATTTTAAGGAGCATGCGGTTATGGGTTTCTAGCTTGTTCAATACAGTACATGCATCCAGGTTATAACCTTGCTAATGCTATCTTGCATGCCTTCGTGCAGTCTTATAGGGCAAGCATTGGAGCAAAGCAGAGCTGTGTCGTCAGCGAAAAGGCTGACACCAGGGGCAATATCGGGGAGGTCATTAATACACAGGAGAAATAGCAGTGGCCCAAGGATTGAACCCTGGGGGACTCCAGAAGTAACGGGTAAAGGCTCCGATAACACAGTTGAGAGGCGTACAAGCTGATGTCGGTTAGAGAGATACGATGAGAGCCAGCCGATAGCCTTGCCATCAGTGCGATATACTGTTCGCAGCTTAGCTAAGAGACCCCTGTGCCAAACAGTGTCGAAGGCCTTTGCAAGATCGAAGAAAACTAAACCAACATGATTATGGGCGTTCCGGGCGGTGTGGATGTCTTGCACGAGGCGGGTAACCTGGTACCTGGTGGAGTCACCCCGACAAAAGCTCGACTGTGCTGGCAAAAGTGAAATGCGAACATGATCATAAATGATGTCATATGCAACACGTTCGCACACTTTTGATAAAGTAGAGAGCAATGAGATAGGGCGATAGTTGCTGGGGGTGGTGCGTGGTCCTCTATTTTTGTAGGTGGCCACGACTACCGCAGTTTCCCACATGGCTGGGAATTTCCCTTCGCGAAATGACATATTTAAGATAATTGACACAGGATAGGCAACAGACGGAGCAAGAGCTCTCCAAACTTCGTTGGTAATTCCGTCTTGACCAGGGGACTTGCCAGTTTTCAGATTACGGAGATATTTCCTCACTTGGGCTGTACCAGTCGACAATGATAGGAGGGACGCAGGTACCGAGGGTGAAGGGATGAGTGGTGGTATAGGCATGAACGCCAATTTGGTCCCCGGCTACAGTCATGTTGCGATTCCTGAGAAGCACGTTACTATTGATCTTGGGAATTTTGGATGACTTGCGTCGAGTAGGCCATGTTTCAAGATTCCTTCTTTCAAGGGTTTTGAGCAATCAATCTACACCCAAAAGGAATTCTACCTGGAATTTGCAAGCGCAGTTGGAGAGACCAACTTGAACTTATACTTATGGTTTTGTCAGACATTCTCTCTCACTGTAACTTGTCTTTACCAATGCAGTGTATTATTGTGTGCTCTTGTATTTCAACATACTTCTGTAGCTTTCAATTGTTCAGATTCCCCTTGTGATCCAAAACGCCAAACATGCACAGATATTGAAAAAGGAGGTTTCGTCTGTAATTGTTCCACTGGATATGCAAAGAATTTCAGTACAGGTAAGCAGCTGTACACATTCGTCATACCTAGCAAGTCCATTATCTCTCTCTTCTTCTTCCTCCTCTTTTTCTCTCTCTATATATATTTATCGCCTTCTTAGTATTTGACCCCACTAATTTCCCTGATACCTAAGCGGTCAAATATATCGCGTATTTGACTGCTTAGTCAAATACACAATATATTTGACTACTTATATTTGACTCCTTAGAACTTCTTGGACTTCAAGAATTCAGTTAAAGCACAAGCAAGACTCCTACAGCCTGTACAGGAAATACCCCACTCCTGACAACCAGACCCATTACAAATCTGAGCGGAACAAGGCCCGTAATATGTCTCGCATAGCCCATCTTGAGTTAGTCTCCTCATTGACGTCCCTCAGCTCAGCCCACAGCAACCTTCTAGCACCCAACCTTTTTCCGTTTGTCCGTCAAGCACGATCAGGTACTACAGCCTCTTCGGATGGTAATGGCGTAGCCCAGCTCTGTGAGGGGAATACTGTTCATACGGATCCGGTTGCCATTGCTGATGCGCTAAATACGCAGTTTGTAAACTTCGGGACCAAAGATGATCCTTCTTGGTCTATGCCTGACTTTCTACAACACCACATACCTCCACTCACCTCTGTTTTCACAACCCCGTCCCGCATCAAGAATTATATTACTCAATTAAAGCTGAAGAAGGCCACGGGCGTTGATGGCACCAGTCATGAGCTTCTTCGACTTCTTTCTCCAACAATCGCGTACCCCCTTAGTCTCCTTTTCAACATTACATTTTCCACCAGCGTATTTCCCTCCCTTTGGAAGCACTCAATAGTCACACCCATAATTATAAGAACAAGGGCTCGCGCTTAAGTGCAACCAACTACCGGCCTATTTCTCTTTTATCAACTATATCCAAACTTTGAGAACGTGTAGTCTTTGATTATGTCTATACTCATGTGAACCCTCTCCTCAGCCCTTCCCAGTCCGGTTTACGTCGTGGGGACTCCACGTCTTTTCCAGCTGTTGCGTTTGGTACAGGCCTTAAATCAATCCAAGGACACTCGACAATTTAGCTTACTCTGCTTCTTTGATCTTAGCCAGACCTTCGACTCGGTATGGACTAGAGGTCTACTCTGTAAGCTAAGATTATTCGGGCTTTCTGGGAACTTTTACAATTGGCTCACTAGCTACTTGATTGGTGTGTTCGTGTCAGGGGACATCTAGAATGTGGTGGAGTGCATCAACTGGATGCCATCAATGATGGCACGTCGGTTTGGGATATACTGCAGCAGAAACATCCCGCAGCTGAGCCCGTGGGCGAGGATGCGATCATGGATGGACCGCCACTCCTTGAGCCCCATCCCATCTTTTTCAATGCAATTGATCAAAAGGTCATTAAGCAGGCCGCCATGGGCACAAGTGGTGCAGCTGAGCCTTCGGGGTTGCGTGACTGGTGGGATGTTCTTGTTGGAGATGGCCCTAAATATGGATATTTCCTCAATCCTGCAAAATCAGTGCTGGTTGTGAAAGAGCGGTGCATGGAGAAGGCCAAGTCTCTCTTCCAGGGTACTGATATATCAATAACATGTGAAGGATCACGCTACTTAGGGGCTGAGATAGGGACCTCCCAATTCTGCAAGGACTTTGTCCACAAAAAAGTTCGGCAGTGGACCGATGAAGTTTTGCGACTGGCCGAGATTGCTCAGAGTCAGCCCCATGCAGCATATTCCGCTTTGTGCCAAGCCATACGAAGCAAATGGTCTTTTGTGTGCCGGACTATGGAGGTCTCCGAGCACGCATAGGAGCCACTTGAAAGGGCCATCCACCACAAGCTGATACCAGCCATCTCTGGCCGCTCCTCACCAAATGACTCAATGACACGTCTTTTTGCATTGCCTTGTCGGCTGGGTGGTCTCGCAATCATGCAGCCTTCAAATCTAGTTTTACACTGATCCCATTGTGCAACTAATCAAGGGAGGCATCCACGCCCTCGAAGATGCATTGGATGTTGTCTGGAAGAGGAAGAACCAATCGAGGTCATCCAATCAAAGAGGCCAGTCAGATGCACTGTCGTCTGTTATCGTGGACTCTTCGCCAACGTTTGTCCGAACAATTGACCCGGCAAGGGAGAGGGTAGCTTCCAGTTGGCTGACCTGTAAGCCGTTACGTCGCTATGGGTTCAACCTAGCGAAAGGTGAATTCAGAGATGGACTTTGGTTACGGTATGGCTGGACACCCCAGCGGCTGACGTCATCATGTGTATGTGGGATAACCGCCTCTGTGAGCCATCTCTTATCATGCCCAGCTGGTGGTTTTCCATCGATAAGACAACGAGATTAGAGGTGTAATGGCTTCACTCTTGAAGAACATATGCAATAATGTGGCCATTGTGCCAAGTTTACAACCATTAACCGGAGAGCGCCTTCGCTACCGCACGGCAATCATGGAGGACCAGCCACGTCTTGACGTCGGTGTCAGTGGATTATATTATATATTTATTACAACATCTCAAGACTCGGTGGAAACACCGGCCAGTGTTAAGAGAGTGGGTGAATTGCCAACCACGGCGATAAATAAAAATAAGGGGAGGGGAAAGAAAGAGTAGCAAAATGAACTGCAACAACAACTCCGTAAAGAAAGATAATGTTTAATAAAAACAGTGAAAAACACAGATACGCAAAGGACATGTGGATATTGAGCTATTTATGTCGTAGGAAAATAGGGAGCGGCACGGATCTTAAACAGGCGGAGCGAGGTCAGATCCTTAACTTCTCTGGGTAGATTGAGCCAAACAGAATAAGCAATAAAGAGAGGGGAGCGCAAAAGAGTGGATGAGTTACACTTAGGGAGTAAGAGCGAGTTTCTAGGTCTTAGAGAAGAGAACCAATTAAAACACATGAGATGAGGTGGGCACAACTCAAGCTTAATAGAATGGACAAGAGGAGCCAGGTGTGCACTGCGTCAATGTGATAACGGGGTTTTGTGAGCGATTATATAAGGGGTCATATTCATCGGCACTATTGGACTTCAGCGGTGCATTTGACACTGTCATTCGTCAGGTTGCTCTGGAGAGGTTAGCCACTGCTGGCGCACCAACGTCCACCACTGCAGTCCTAGTATCAAACACAACAGCCCGCACGAAGCTTGGTAAACAACTAAGCAAACCATTTCCAACAAACATCGGCGTCGTCCAGGGTGACCCAATGTCACCAATAATGTTTATAACTTACGCCGAAGGTTCCATGCGTAAGATCCGAGAGCAAGCTCTACCCGCGTCAGACCTACCAGCAACTTTCACACAATACGCAGACGACACCACTGCCCATCAGAACGAGCGATCATCTGTGGAAGAAACCGTCACAGGGCCTGCTCTAGACATTCAACACAGCCCGGTCAGAGTGTACCTGGTGCATGCAGGCCAGCCGGGTCAGATCATCCGGCAGAAAAACAACTAAAAAGCCTGCTCAAAACGCAGGAAAATAGAAAGGCGAATTTATTACCGGAAATCGTTTAGAGAACAACAAGGCGAACTATCAAAGTCTGCAAATGTAGAAGGTAAACGACATTACGTGAAGAATGCAAAGCAGTTCCATTGGATTCTGATTTAACAATTTGAAAAATTGGAATTCTGTTTTCTAATTAGTGCTAGTAGCAGGACGAACATGTTCACATAATAGAGCACTGCAGCACCCAGGAGCCGAGCAGCATGCCGATAATTCGAAGCAGTGAGTTCTTACCTCTCAACCACGCATCGCGAGCAAATCCACCGCCGCTCGTGTTCCCGGAACACGAGCGGCGGTGGATTTCCAAAGTTTTTTTTTTAAATTTCGGCCAGTCTTGCACAAAGCACATGACATGGATAGACTGGCATGCTCGTATTCCAGCCAGGGTCGACCTTTCTTCCAAGAGTCTTGGAAAGCGTGAGTTCTTTTTCTCTTCGCTGCGAGCTCCATCGTCCAAATCACCAGTCGGATGAATGCAACTGTGTCAAAAGCTATAGCCAAAGTAATAGATACGCTTTTGACTGCATGACTGCCCCATCGACTTTGAATGTCCTGACTTCCTGCTCGCCGCTGGCCAGATCGCGCTGGAACCAGTTGACCCCAGTTGACCCTAGCCGAGTCTGTCGCTTGTAGACTGTAGTGTGTACCATGGTGTACGGTTGCGCTACAGATGGGGTCCGCGAGTCGGGAAATACCGGTATTTTAGGAATCCATTGTCAGTTTGAGACATTTTTCAGCCGGGTCAGACTGGACCCGGTGTTATCTATTCAGCCAGGTCGTGCAGTTCCCCAGCCGGGCGCGTGACCCGGCTGACCCGGCTCTCCAGCAGGCCCTGCGTCCGTGTGTGTGAACCCGTTTTCTCGGATGACAATCTGAAGCTGAACGTGGCAAAAACTCAATATTTCACTATGACCAAGGAAGATGATTCCTGGAAATCGGTGAAGCTGCTGGGGAGTATGCTAGGCACAGCAGAAGACATAGCAGCCAGAGTGTCTGCTGCAAATCGGGCATTTGCAGGCATTCCATGGAAACGCCACAACCTGAATTCCAGGCTGTGTATGTTTTCCTGCCTGATATTGCCTGTCTTGCTGTATAATTGTGCGCTTTGGACCTTATCGCAAACATTAACCGACGTCGTCAATGTATGGCACCGGAAGAAACTACGTACCATCATTGGTATCACATACCCACAACGAATCTCGACCACAGCGCTGTATGCCAGAACCGAGCAGACCCCACTATCCCAAGTCTGCAGGCAACGGAGACTGCTGTGGTTCGGCCATGTAGTGAGGGAAGGCGAAGAATCGTCCTCTTTCCAAGCCCTCCTGATGTCGATCAACACAACAGACATACGACGACCCCGAGGACGACCACGTCTGAGATGGATCGACGTTGTCAAGAAAGACTTACAATGCATTAATCTGTCGCTTCTGGATGCTGTGCAATCTGCTTCTGATAGAGCTGCTTGGCTCGAAATTGTTAACAGATGCGTTGACGTCATGCAATGAGTGAAAT